TACTACTATATATATATATATATATATATATATATATATATATATATATATATATATATATTTAGAAATCAGAAATTACACAAAAGATATACGTAAGTTAACTGCTGCGCGCTTAATAACTACTAACTAAAGATCTCAATAACGGATCTATGATTTCATATGTTTGAAATGGGAATATCGCGAAATCGTTTAGAAATATATTTTGGCGAATTTTTCGCGTCAGGTACTACTTAAGATTCGTTTCTTCTTAGGATTCGAAAGGGTGCTTCGCTTGTCTTCGCAACGTGCATGCTAATAAAATATTGCCGAGTTGTACGCACGTGCGTCGTGCACACAGAAGCGAAACGGTTCGTTCGGTGTGGTAAATGCACCACGGTTGGGTAAGAACCCTGGCCTCGTACATAGGGGACGACAGAGGAGAGACAGCTGTGGGGCAGCTGGCAGCGCGTGCCACGAACCTATGGGGTCTCCGAGCGCGGACGCGACGGACGATGATATCCTATATTCCGTCGTACGTAAGTAACGGCAGGTTTCGAACAATGCGACGTTCCCGAGCTTCGTCTATCCTTGGATATCAAAGGGAACGTAGCTGGACAGCTACGAATTATCGCTGCCTGACTGCCTGCCCCGGAAGCTCGTATAATAAAACTCCTTACGTCTATCTACGATTTGTTCGCATAATGTATGTAAGAAACACTATGGGGACTACTTCACATTGATTTTCATAAGAACGTAATTCGGCTAGATCTCTACTGATGGAGACATAAACTTAAACCTGTCTATGGAGGACGATACGGTAAAATTCATACTTTCCACACATTAGGGTTGTGTTCAAATAAAGAGATTGAATCAACTATAGCAACTGAAAGGTTCTATTTTTTTCGACATAAAAAACAAAAAAAAAAGAATTTCTCTTTATAATAATAATTTTACTAATATATATTAATAATGTGTGAAAATTATTTTTTAAAAGGATCCAAAAATTTCAGAAAAGTTATGTGAATCTCACAAATTTAAATATTTTCAAAGTCACAAATTAATAAAAATATCTTTTATATATATATATATTCATTAAAAATATACTCCAATTTGTTTAATGTTTCGCCGTTTAAATATATTATGAACGTATAAAAGTATCATTTTATAGGTTAATATTAAAATTCTTTTATAGGTTAATATTTAAATTGATATAGTTTTAAAAGGACTATTCTACAATACGGGATGCCGTGCCGGATATCCTTCTATAATTCAAGATAATATGCATTCATCTTCTATATGCATTGCGTTTGTAATGTTTCGTGCAAGGCATCGAAAAGGTGCGCTTTCCTTGTGAGTTTTTCACCGACTCGAAAGAAAAAGGATCAGCGAGTTCAAAGCTTTCGGGGGAGAGCGTTTCAGGCTAGCGAACATCTGCCGTCGTCTGCAACGATAATAATTCGAACAGCTGATGTGCTCCTCCGCGGACCACCGCTTCGCCTCGTAGATCCCACAGAATCGTTTCGCTTTGTTATTTTTCGTATAAGAAATCCTCGTGAAACAAAAGAAAAACGTATTTCCGATTGTCCACTTTCACAAAATTCCTTTAGTGATTGTTTTCTCAATGAACGCTACATAAACATGCTTTCATTTGTTGAAACATCTTTTTAATCACACAGATTATGAACAATTGAAATCGTGTAAACGTATATTTGTAGACGTTTGAAAAAAAATAATGACAAAATTCTGTTACAATTAATTCGATAATATTATTCACATATTATCTTCTCATAAATATATATTAAATCCTATATATTTTTTGCAAGTAATAATTTTAATTTCTCACAAGAGTCATTTATGTGATGTTATGCAATCTTGTAATCTTTATAATAAATGTACGATTTGCCCAATGGAATAAATTACACACAAATGGAATAATTACACACATTTTAAATTACAATCTCTTGATCAATGTAAAAGACAAAAAAGCTAGTAATAAATTATGATTACGTAACTCGTCGTAAATTTCAATGAAGCTCCTAGAGAAAAATCTAATAGAAAGCAGAAATGTTCAAGGAGAGAAAAGAATCGACAACTTGCCCGCGATTAGGGTGCCCGCTGTGCACACGTGCTTCTCGGGACAATCGATCACCTGGCAACAAGTCATTACCCTGAGCCCGCGAGAAGCCTCTGACGGGGACCAGCGTCATCGAGTACTACGTGAAAACACCGATCGATCTCGCTTTTTGAATTTCAGCGCTCGGTGTTCCCCGGTGGATACGGGATTGCCTGCGTGCGCACTGCGTCCTCGCAGAGTGGGAACAAACGTCGGCCAATCGAGAGGCTCGATGGCGAGCCAACTGGAAAGGAAGCTGACGAACCGAAGCGCCATGCAGTAGCCGCGACAACTCAAACGGAAGACACGGCACTCGCACGTGGGCCTTCGTCGGTGTCGGTTACGTTTTTGCGCGCGCGCTACGACTCGCAAAAACTTAGCACCGTTCACGGCGCGTGGTGACCCCCAATTGGCGTGCTGGCCGGATCATCTTTGATACAAAACGGTGTTTGCCGAAAATATTCGCGGGTACTTATCTACTTCGGTCGAGTAGTCCATATTCTGGACGTGTGCATCGTCGTGTCTCGTGTTTCTCTTCATACAAACGCGTAGATTTCACGCGCGGTCGGAAGATCCCTCCTAACCTTGGTGTATAATACTGTTTGTGTATCATTACATTTGGGATTATCACTATACAGTAGAGTGCAACACAGACGTACATACATACGTAGTGCAACGTAAGTAAATCTTTGAATATTTATTGTTTACTGAAAATTTCTAGGAGAAACATATTCGAAAACCGTTACGTTATGCAACTGAGAGCAGAAATATTTCATTAGTAAAGCGCTAAATGCATTAATCTTGAATTGACGATTTCCTAATTGTCTTCGGAAAGTGCGATTAAATTACGCGGTATGTACTCTACTTCTCTCTTCGATCGGTCTATTTTCGATCGGCGCTCCATCCCCTGTTATTTCTTTTGAAAATAGCACGCTCGGCTACAAGATAACTCGTAAAAGTCATCATCGATCTTGCGCATTAGCACGCATCATATTTAATGCATACTCTACATGAAGCTACTGTCGTGCTTGCATGAATTTTGGAATCGCACGACTCATTAACGACGTCGATAGCTTAATTACTATCATTATGGTGCATTATCGCCTAATGCGGTTTTCACATCGCGGCTTTAAAATGCTGTAAAATTGATGATAAATCGATTTCTTTCTTGAGCGTAATAAATAAATGTATAATTCGAATTATATTGTATTATCATTTCTTATATCCCTAATTAGAAATTATTTATATACAGTTTTATTTTACTCGATTTCGAGTAAAATATTCACAAAACTTGTAGAGATATTTTAACAAT